ATTTGTAAAATCTCAACAATCTGCTCTAAACATCAGGCAGATTCAACTTGTGTGAAATAAGTGCAAAAAAAATTGCAGGCACTGGTTTAGGGTCTTGCATTAGCTGCATTCTGAACTTGGTTCTTAAATCTTTAATCTGCTGATTAAGCAAATGAATGCTTAATCAAATCTAAACACTTTCAACAAATAAAAAGGGAGAGTTCTGAAGTAAAGCACGAGGTTCAGGCATCAACCCTGCGCCAAAAATTGTACATGTGAAGCCCCATATCCCCAGTCCTGTTTGGAGCATCTGGCTGGGAGCTCCAGTAACGGAGCTCTGCATAAAGTGCTTGCTTGGCTGCTGCGCCCTCACACTGCCCGTCGTTCAGCTACACACACTAAAATAAACACCAGCTGAGGGGCTAAATCCCAGGGCAACCAGCTTTCGGAATCTGAAAACATGCAACAGCATCAGGGATGTGGGGTAGTCAGGCTCAAGTTTGAGCCAAGCAGAGGCAGCCATGTACTGGATAACTATGTTTCTGGAAAACGACTAAAAAGAGTGCTGGGACTCCTGCAGTAGCAGAATTTTTAACAAAAACCAAACTGACCTCCCACCGAACAAGGACCTCGTCTTACAGACCCCAGGAGAAAACATAGCCTCAGCTCTCAGAAAAGCCTTGTGACAAAGTGATCAGGCACTTGGCAGCTGTAGGCAGTCGTGAGCAAGAAACTGAACAAAGAAACCCAAACCCAATCCTCACAGTTGTACAGCGTATCCTCTGTAGTTACGTTACGGACTCTCAAACAAAGCTGGCAGAGGACGTACCAGATGGCAAGAAATGTATTCATTCATGTACAAAACAGTCAGTGTCACGCTCCATCCTCATAAAAAACAGCTGAATAATCTACAATGAACCAAATGTAACAGAGTCTACATCACTTCTATGGTAGAGTGAAGAGTCAGCATGGAAAGTTAAATGTATAAATAGGAAAACATTCAAGCTCTTTACATAAGTATCTAAAGTGCAGTTATCAGGAGGGTGGCTGACCTAATACTACGGGATGCTGTGCTTAACCTTTTGTTACTCTTTTTCCATGTAAGATTTCTTAATCTCCTTCTGGCTTTCGCTTCTCATGGGTAATAGACTCCCTCATTTATCCCTCTTCATACTACAGTCTCACAGTTAAACAGTACTTTGCAGTTAAAGCCTCCCACTGCCTACTTATAAAGTGCAGATGGGGTTTCTTTAAAGTAAACCATTTTACCTGAATATGTTAATTTAAATTATGGGGCACATATTCCGCCAAAATTAAGGTGTGTTCCTGGATTCTGAGGTCTACTGCAGAAAACAGCAGTGCTGCTTCGTTAGAGCTCGTCTTTCACTGAGAAGGGAATCCAATTGTTTCACCACCTGCTATCAAATGCCAAAAATACACCCACAGAGTGAAACAGGTTTAAAAAAAACCCCACGGTATTACCAAAATTCTTGAATATAGACTAAACAAAGTGGTAGTGATTGTGAGAAACACTCGTGATACTGGGAGTATTTTCTGTTGCTAAGAGTTTCACATGGAGGAGTTAGCTGAAAAACTCATTCAGCTGTTCAAAACCAGGTGTGGAAGCAAATGCACTACAGCCAAAAGAATCGACTGCATTTCAAATCACACAATTTTCCTTCAGCCAAAAAAGACAGCACAATATTAGATTAAAAGAGAATTAAAGCAAATTATAAAACAGTATTTTCCATCACATCTCTTCCAAAATCATGTAAAACAAGTTATACTGTTTGCATCTTAATTTTAAATGTAGCTTAACGGCCAAAAAGGTTTCACTTCACCCATCTGAATTAAAGTCCTCCTACTCGTATCTCTTTCTAAAGCAGCCAGACTTCTGCACGCAGATGACCAGCAGACTGAGCATAACCTAAAAGTGACAGAGACCGAACAAGTCAGGGTGTTTACGGAGAGTGAACAGAGTCAGCCACGGATCAATACACCACTGCCGCAGACCTCAGGGGCTGCACGGTCTAAGTCAGGCTGCTCTAACGTCTGCACATTCGGGCAGATATAATTAAGGGCACAGGTATTGTACAATACATGACAGAGGTAGATCGACAAGTGACAGACTGCATATTCCAATTCTGACTATGGGGTAGTCTTCCAAAAACTCACAGGTAGCACATCTTCCTTGTGTTAAAAGAAAAAGCATTAAAATGAAGTCCGGAGATGACTAATACTGCTAGCTAACAACACTGCCTTCAAAACACGGATGAGATTCGTCGTGATGGCAGATTTCCATTTATCAGTTCTGGATAATGCATGTCTTGAGCTGTATCCAGAAAATCTAGATTCCCGGCATAAGGTATGGTGTTGATCTGTACTAGGAGAGTAATTTGGAGGGTTTTCTTTTATTTTCAAGGAAGAACTGTTCAGCTCATGGTCTGGAGAACTACTTGCTGCTGATGCGTGCCGAGCTGATGGTCGTAAGGTGGTAGAGTTCCTGGTTCTTCACGGATGTTAAAGACTAAGAGTTCAATGCTATCAAGTCTGTCCAATACATGCTGTAGGATTCAGATTAAATGACACCTGCTACTTCCCGAATTCCCTTTACAGTAGCTGCTGTCTGAATCCTACTCAAAAAATAGGATCAAAGACGACTCACCTTCTATAAGATGTAGTGCAAAAAAAGTTTGGGATATGCTGCTCTAAGGCTTGTAGAAAAAAAAGCAGCATGTCATACAAGTGATATAAATAAAAAGCAATTTAACAAACATTTAACACATTATAGGAGTAAGGATGTATGTCTTTCCAGGCACTAGAAAAGGCAGTCTGAATTTCAGTGACATGCAGTTAAAACTGGCTTGCCATTTTCAATATCACTCACAAGATCAGTAAGGCAGTGAAACCAAAGCACCCATAATTTTAGATTACTTATGTTCAGAAGGATATACATGGAAATTACATTCTTCAGGGCCTAACATAACCTGAAAGAAAGGCTGCTGGAAGGGTGGTAGAGGTGTGCATGGTTTTGGTCATTCAGAATGAAGGAAGAAGCCAATTGCGTAATTTTTTTAAAGATAAAACCCATCAGTGACAAATGATATGTGAATGAAAAGCTAAGAGCAGCATAAAATTAAAACAAGAGCTTTTCAATCTTTTTTTGTAAATCCTGACAATTTAATTCAACAAGATCTGAAAAGAAACATACACTTCCTACTTGCAAACGTGTAGGAGAATCAAGAAATTTTTTAAAAATTTACCACTGTAGAGATGCCTTATCAATAAGAAAGCGGCTTTTCAGCACACTCTGGTTCTTGCAATTACAGGGAAACCAAAGAGAGCCCCCAGATCCTCCAGTAACAAAACTAAGGCCACCAAAATAAAGGCTTTGTTTGTTTTCTTAAAAATAATACCATACCTAGCAGATGTCACAAATGACTGTTGATAGGTCTCGTTGCTGCTCTGCTCCTATTACAGGACTAAAACATGTAAACATACTAATAAGAAAATTGGATACAGTGTACAGAAGCATGCTTGAGAGAGCCTGGAGGTGAGTAGGCAGGCACTTATTTTTAAGCTACATTTTTAAAACAGTTCTCGAATCTCTTTACAAAAAAATATGAAATATGCCTTCTGGATAATTAAAGACAGTTGATCCAAGACAGCATTCTCCTACCTCCACACTAGTTATTCCAACATCTTTCAGTCCGAAGATCAGTCAAAATTTCCCAACACAGATGCTGACCTTGTCTATGGAACTGGAGCCTACTGACACCAAATCTGTTTTAAAATTTTCATTCAAGAATCTTTATAGTGGTTTGCTGATTACAGGTTGAAATGCACTGCTATCAGCACGTGCTTAAACTTCACTGAAGTTGCTCAAGGTTAAGTGTCTTTTTCTAGCCCTGAGTTTGGGTCTATTTGAGCCCAAGAGTCCAGGGTCAGTCACATAACAAAAGCCACGATTTTATTTGGAGATTCACATCAGTAGGAGTGTTACTGATGGACACAGAGGATGCAGCTAAACTGCAAACAGGAAAAAAAGATAGTGAAGGGAGGAGACCATTTTAGTCAGCATTGATTGTACAATACAGATTTCAGTCTGACTTTTTCAGCAGTTGGAGCAAGGAAGCTTACGCTAGCCAGGACTTTGTGATCTGGGAGACAGCTTTATAGCTACGTTACCGTGCCTTGCGGCTGTGGGCACGTTTTAAAATCAATACAGAATGGGCTTTCCAATCAGTCTGAGCATTTCCCTTTTTTCTTTCATGGCAAGAAGAATAAAGCCCTCAGAGCATCAAAAGCAGACAAAAACTGCATAGCGCGGCAGAGGCCCAGAGGCAGACTACGTTAGTTGCCCCAAGATCTAAAGAGTCTAAACCACAGCCTCCAATATGAGGTATATTTTGAAAAACTGTGTTAGTTTCATGTTTTCTTTATGCTTACTTATTAATTTCCATCAGCTGCAATAAAAATTGCAGAAACCAGAGGGTTTGTCCCCCCCCATTAATCCCCAAAGTTTGGGTTTAAAAAGGTGGTCAACTTCCCACAGAGTATCATGTGATGGACAGATTAAGAGCAAGCAAAGTGCTGCCAATTATATTTTGGGGTGTCCTCAACATCAATCTTGTTCTTTACTCTTTCTTCAATATTTCTGAATAAGAAGATGCTTCTGAAAGTCAGAGCAATATTTAAGACTTGTAAAATAAGCAAAAGAGATTAATTCAAAGCTGAACTAGAACACATCTAAGGTGTTTGTCAATCTGTAGTATGAATGGGACATGGGGAGTAAAAAGTAGAAATAGAAAAGAAACGCATGTAAATAATAATTACAAAAAAAAAAGTGTTTCTTGTGTTTATAGTCACCCTGCAGTCTCCTGATGGATCACAGGTGAAACAAATTAGGAATTCAGTTTCCACACACAAACAAGAACCCCTGCACCATCTTAAGTGTCTTCTGCTGGTCACACCCTGGAACATCCTCCACGATGTACCTCAGTTGGACTAAAGAGAAAATGGAAGCTTGGTACAAAACGAACTAAATGGCACAGGTACCCCAACTGTTTTGCTTAAAATATAAATTGCAAAGGAGTCTGTGGAAAAAGCAAGATAGAATAAAGCACTAAATCAATCATTACATACTTCATTAATTGTATAAAAGTGCAAGATTAAAGTAGTTCAGGTTAAGCATTCAATTCACTATAGGCCACACAAATGCTTCGCTTGGCCATCAATGACTTGTTTTTGTCATTCAGTTACTAGTATTAGTTTAAATCACAGAAAGAACAAGAACTGAATGAAAAACATATGCAATCCACTTCAAAAATGGTTAGTTTTCTGTGACCAGCACGAAATATTAGCTCAGTATCATCAGCTACACAATATATACATAAAAATATTGGGTCTTAATCTTTGTTTTAACAACTTAGAATAAAGCTGTACTAAACATTACTTCCCTAGTGTGCCAACTCTTTGCTCTGTTCCGGCTGGCTGGCCTAGTAACAGAGAAGTCCTTTTGTACCAATGGAACTTGAATCGATCCATAATTTTGACACTTCAGCCATAGTAACTGTTGAATCGCTTTATTCAGCCAGGCTAGGAGTTCGCATGTGACTGCCTAGGTCTCAGTCAAAGCTTCTTGGGCGGCTCCACAAGAAGAACAGGCCATATTCCAAAAACAAACTGTTAAAAGAAAAATAGGAAGAGGGGAAAGATTTCTTGGAATGTTATGTCCCTTGAACAGAAACCAAACACTGTTAACCATCATTTCAACTGCATTTCTTGGGATGTAAGTAGAAATCAAAGATAGTACCCTAACAGGTATAATCAGTGAGCCCCAATGCAAGCTCAAAGCACAAGATACTCAAATGCTGCAGTGCATTAATGGACACAAAATATTGCTTGCTTACCTTCACCTTTGGCCTGTGTTTCAGGAAAAGTGTCCTTGTGTATAAACTGAGGAAAAGGAGAAAAATGTGCTTAAAATTTCAGGTATAAGACAACATATAAAATAATAATGATGTACTAATCCCAGTTTTATTTTCCAACTAGAAGAAAATTGCTTCTGTGATTGCAGAGCTACCCATTCTGCCTAGATTTACACAAAATAGGAGACATTAGCCTACAGTAAATCCCTCTGAGCTAGACTATGATTAGCAAACTAATCTACCCTATCACCTATGTGGGGAGAACGAGAGAAACCCAGAGAAGTAAATTCTCTCTCCACTATGGAAAAGACTAAACAGGGACTAGAGCCTATCATTCTGGAAGGACGAAATTAAATCAGTGTACCACAAAATATAGCAGATGTTAAGGGCGGGGGGGAAGCAGCATAGCTTGATTCTGTAGCTCATTTTTCTTCTTATACACCCTCTCCCCTCAGTAGATCCTGGTGAAGGGTCTGGAGCACAGGCCTTATGAGGAGCGGCTGAGGGAACTGGGGTTGTTTAGTCTGGAGAAGAGGAGGCTGAGGGGAGACCTCATCACTCTCTACAACTACCTGAAAGGAGGGTGTAGCGAGGTGGGTGTTGGGCTCTTCTCCCAAGTAGTTACCAATAGGACAAGAGGAAATGGGCTTAAGATGCGCCAGGGGAGGTTTAGGTTGGAAATTAGGAAAAATTTCTTTACGGAAAGGGTGGTCAAGCATTGGAACAGGCTGCCCAGAGAGGCAGTGGAGTCCCCATCCCTGGAAGTGTTCAAAAAAATGGGTAGATGTGGCACTTCGGGACATGGTTTAGTCTAGTCTACCCTTGATTGGCTTAGAGTAGACTTGGTAGTGTAGGTTAATGGTTGGACTGGATGATCTTAAAGGTCTTTTCCAACCTAAACGATTCTATGATTCTATGATCTTCTCCTGTGTATGACCTCACTTTTTTAAGTGGACATAGGTGATGCCACTGTGTGGCTGAGAAAATACTAGGGAAACTAATGCAGGGAAAGCATGTAGTTTGTGCAAATGCAAATCGGGCATCTGCACGTTCCCCAAGGGCTAGAGGATGCAAACCCAAATTATTTTCTCTGTGCAGCATGCTGGAAAAACCTTGCCTATGCTATCCAAACTCTCTGCATCAGCTTGCTTTCTGTAAGGAATTTTCTTCAAAAGATTATCTCAAGCTGTTCAGGGCAGCAGACAACCGGCCAGCTAAAATGGAGCAGCTTGTTTCCACATACCATGACATATTTTATATATACACATATACATACAGGTACATATAGATACACATCCATATATGTAATGTGTGTACATATATGTATACATTAAAAAGCTATCAGAATAGCTACTGGAAATGTACTTATTTTCCTTGCATTTTCCTTCCACAAGCCATTTTAACATTGGACAAAAAAGGAGAATACTATGTTAGAGGTAGAACATAGAATGTATCTGCTAAACAGACATTCTCTTATGATTAAATGGTAAAATATTATTTCATTACATAATGAACAAACTACAGAAATTCTTCAGATTCCAGCTTGAATTCTATTTTTGTTCCTGGTTCCACTAGATGGTGGTATAGAGCAAAAACACAGACCCAAATCTGCTGGCTGCACCTTGCTAACTTAGGCTGTCATTTCAGTCTCCTTCTAAAACTAACATCCTGCACTTCTGGGAACAGCTCTGCTCCATCCTCTTCATCCGTCACCCTTCTGCTCTATAGCATGATGCGTGCTAGTTTTCAGGAGCGATAGTGCCTATCAAAAAGATTAGTTATGCTTCTAAAATTAAACATGTTTAAGTACTTCAGGATTGCTGCTCAAGAACAGAAAGGCATTAATAGCTTATATTTTGAAATTAGTATACTGTCAAATAGTTTTGCAGTTTAACTGCCATAGGGTTCCCATTTCCAAATTGGATTTTCCTGAAGAACCATGAGTATTTAAAGATTAAGGATTACATTTTGAAGAATATAGATTACTTTTACGGAGTTTTTAGAACAGTTGCAAAGAGGAAAGAAAAACTCCCACCAGTTTAGTAAGAAGTCATTTTCCTGCTCTTCTGGCTGACACACATTTTGAAGTAAATCCAAACCTGGGAACACTAAGACTGCTTGCTGAACATCCAGTTTAGAAAACATTTCCTACCTTAGCAGGATATGAAGGTAAGAGCCCAGCCCTGTGAGAATATGCCACCATGCATGAAACTGTGTCACAGCTCCCACAACAGGAGGCATCTTCTCTCGTAGTGCTCTGTAAGAAAAAAAAAAAAACCACCATGCAATGCTGGTTGGTTTTTTTTTTTTTTTTCCCCAAGCTAAGCAATCTCACATTGCAGTGCTTCATTGTCAGATCAGACATTACTGTTTCCGTATCTCAGGCACATGCTTCACAAGTGAGGCTTCACATAGTCAGGCTTCCAGCAGGTGACGAACAGCAATTACACCTTATACTGTCAGTATAGAAAGATATTAGCAAACTGGCTTTCTTACACATTTAAAGACAGCACACACTTCATACAATGACTGATCAGTTACTTCTGGACTCAAATTTCATGTAATACATTTGTGGCATCCCACAGTTCCAAATGAGTTCTACCATCCTCCTTCCCAAAACCTGGTGAACCACTGTCCATAGGATAAAACGCTGAGTTTAAGGTTCGAGAGAGGAAATGGGATTTATCAGACATCACCACTTTACGTGTGGCAATCACACCACCTATTCTCCAGCTCCATGGAAGCGTAGCTTGTTTTCTCTGTTGTCCTCTAAAACAGGGACAAACTGGGTGTTTAGTGAGGAAGCAATGGAAGTCGAGGGTCTGAAATACTCCACCAGCATGCTCTGTATTTTGCACAGTTATGGGGTGTGAGCTACTTGGGAAGAGGCTAAGGCAGAGAAAGGAAGGGAAGGAACTACATTGCCCTGATTTCTCCTGCTCACTAGGCTTCTGCAGATAATGCCTATTTTGGTTAATGGCGGAGCAAATGTTTGCATCTGCCCGTCTTCTTTTTTGACTTTCATTTCACATTCAGTCAAAACAAAAAAGGGAAAACAATGATAGCAGGTGTTGAGGAAGAAAAATCTGCAGCTTCTGTAATACTTATTTACTGCTTGATGTTACAGTGTTCAGTCCCCCTGACTAAATGCTAATCCCTGAGCTACTGCTTAGTTTCCAGAGCTGCTCAGTCACGAATATGAACACAGAGCTTCGATTCAGTCAGCCGGGGAATGATTTAGTGGAACAGACAGACTGTCACCCGGCACAGCCTCTGAGCCTTTGGATGGCAGGAAATCTCAAAGCTCAAGTTCAAAAGTGCATGGATCCAACCAGGGAGGCTGAGTGCTATAGATTTTTTGTTTGTTTGTTTCTGTGTTTGGGTTTTTTTGTTTGGTTTTTGTTTTGTGTTTTTTTTTTTTAAATAAGCTCCAAATTTAATGAAATATGAAAAACCAAGAACTGAACCAAAATACAATTTTGAACATTAAAACCAAAAAGAGCAGGTAGGTGGATGACTCACAAGTTAGATCTTCAGAGAATAAAAAATTACAAGGAACTGGAATATATTTTCTCCAAAGGTTCGAGATATAATACAACCTGGAGAAATTCAAGGCTCTGCAGACATCTGATTAAATATAGTAAACAAGCATATATATTTTTTTTTCCCCAGCACCATAACCAAACAAGTATTACAGGAAATATCCTAACTTTTTTTTTCCCTTTGCAAAATGAGGATGGAAAAAGTGCTTCAGCAGCTGGTGTAATCTTTGAGTCTAGGAACAAGTTCAAAAGCCCCACGGACCTGCAGCAGCTCAGCAGGCTTAGTGAATTGGGAGTTATGATCTCACCAGTGATGTGATGCAGCTGCAAAAATCAACCCTAATGCCAATATTTGCAAAGTCACTGTATACCCACCCACTTGCGCTGGCAAATAAAACTTTTCTATGCCATCTGTATCAAGTGTTTCTAGGGATGAGGCACTGTATGTTATATTCAGAACACCTGTATTTTTTAAAAAAGTTTCAAGAAAACTCTGTTGGAGTTAACTTTCAGTTGGCCTAACCTAAGTGTAAGGACTACAGAGTCAAAAGGGACAGATGGAAAACACTAGGTTTCTTTACAGCACACTATGATGCGACCCTGACAAAACAACCTACTAGGACAATTCTGTACACCACAGATTCAGCAGTGTAACAGTAGATCAGACAGTAAAGAATGAATTTTCTGGATGCTGGCATCAGCCTTTCCATCTCCTCCAGCTTGTGGAGGAACACAAGCATCACGACTAAGCAAAAGAAAGGTGCAGTTGTCCAGTTCCAGAGGGACACCCATTAAGGGAACAACCTGTTGGACTGGTGTTCTTTCTTGCATGGAGAGGGTATCTAGCCATATGACAAGATGGTGGGTTCCTACAAGCTTTATCTGGAAGCCTTTTTTACCCCATTTGGCAATACACTAAACAGAGAGGAAGTCTTTCCTGGCCTCCTCTACAAGTGCTAAGCCAGAAGACCTCAGGCTAATAATGACGTCCAAGCACGGTGTATTGGCTCACAGAGTTACTATTCTTTCTGAGATGCTCAAACAGCTGTTGTTTATTGGCAACAGATATATTGCAATAGATGTTTCTTTAACCTGCAGAACTACTGCTTCTCATATTTTCCTTGGAAATGGCAAGAGCAGAAACCACAAAAAAAAAAAGCACGATAAAAAACTCATTCAGATGAAATCAAGCGTGAATAGCAGGCTTTAGCAAGCCACAGATCCTCAAAATTACTTCAGTGACATTACTTTCTCTCAATTTAAATTGAAGTTAAAGAGAAATATCAATTATTTAAAAAAATAAATCTATTCATGGATAAAAGAAACATTAAAAAAAAAACCTGTTGAGTGCTGAATCTAGTCATGAGCAAACTGGATAAAACCCTTGTGAATGTTTTGTAGGCAGCGTACCACGCATACCATGAGATGGACTTGAATATACACCACAGAAAAAACAAGGTTTTATGCTAAAAAGACTATTAAGAGCTATCCAGACAAAATGAAAGAACTCACCTCAATTTATCACAGAAAATGTTGTCCACATTCCAGAGAAAAAATCCCATTAAAAATACAGTTAAGGATGTATAGCCTAGACCTCTAAGCCATGGGTATACCCTACAGAGACAGAGAGAAATAATGCAAAGTTTAGTTCAAGATTCTTTAAAGGCAGATTTTATGTAACATACATAAATACTATTACATACAAATAAACTGCTTTATTTTTTTTTCCCCAAAAGGAAAAACATCAGCTTCAAATCTCATCTATTTAAGTATTGTATTTTACCTCCTCCCCTCTCTCCTGAATTCACATTCTACGAGACTGGTCTTTTAAATGTTTTACTTCTATATTTCTAATTGTTCCCCTAAATACTGCTCTCTCCTAACACAACAATTAAGTGGGAAAACTGAAGTTGGCTAAAAGGTACTAATTCTTCAGTCCCATGTATAAACTTTCAGTTAAAAAATAGCCATGTTACAAATGAGGACCCTCCCAAAAGACGAGGCTCTTTTCCAACACATGATATCCCTATACTAGGGGACTTATTTAAATAAGGTCTTTCAAAATGACTGTAGTCTTTTGTGAATGTAGACCATGACCAACAACTAACCAAATTAATGGTTTTAGAAAACAGTAATTTCATGTTGTATTTTCTCATTGAGTGCTATTGGGGATGGAAAAATATCAATTTCATTTTGGGAGGAAAAAAAAAAAATCCTCTTTAGGATATGGTAAACACACTGAAGAATCAATGCAATACAGTGCACCATTAATAAATTTACCCTCACTATCTGCATTCAGGTTGGACCATGGAATTGTAAACTTCCTGCATGGAAGTTGGTAGCATTTGCTCCTTTCCCACTAATAAAACAAGTTCAAAAGCAAACCCAATTCCAACCCTAAAAGGCCACCATGAAATACTGTTCAAGTTATTTTCTAAGTGTTATGAATGTACGGTTTAGATTCTGGGTTAAAACGCATTCCTGAGCTGCTTTTTCTCCACTGTGTTATACACGTTTCAGAGCTGAACAAAATGTGTAAAACACAACAGGTAGAGCTTCTTCCACAGGGCAAGCTAACCAGATACAAGTTGTACATATTCACAAGTGTACTGCCAATATAAACTAGCAATATTATTACTATTTGTTTAGTCTAATAAATGCATGGAGCACCATGCGGTACATGGCAGAGACTACACTGTAATATTCCCGACTCGGTGCTCTAGAGACATAAGCAAGCCCAGGACATGAAAGAGCACTAAATGGTATGTTACACATGCTGGTAATTGGGTAATTACAGCTAGAATTGTTCAGGGAATTAACGGTGGTGTTTTGTGACGGAATGAGAGGCTGGCATCACTTATTAACGGGGAACGTGCTTTGTGAACAGAGAACAACATTTGCCAAGTTGTAATCTTGGGAAGGAAGCAGACCCAAGAAAGAGAAGAAAAGTGTGGGGGGAAAAAGGCAGGAACAGCAATAAATGATGAGGACAGGAGGAGGTAGCAGCCTGGAAGGAGTAACATGCTGTTCTTTGAGATTTTTACTCTAAGCTCAGAGCGACTTCAAGCCCCACATTAAGAAATGAGTGATAGGAAGCTAATTAAGGAAGTGAAACAAAATAAGCAGAAATTGGGGTCAATATGTAGGTTGAAACATGCTTGGACAAGTGTTAGCACCATCAATGGGAAGACAGGAATAAGGTTTAGCAACACAGGGGAAGTAAATCCAAAAGTATATTTGGGGAAGACTTTTAGAGAAAAGAAAGGGTACCTTCAGGTTGGCACAGCTTCTCTAGCAGAACTAATTTAAAATCAGTAGTAGCTTAGTTAAAATTTAGAAGTAGTTTAAACCTACTTCTCTCCCCATCCCAACTTTCTAACCAGCTTCTGCGTTATAACCAAAGGGGGAAGCAAGTCTTTGTAGGGCCATGTTGCAATGAAGTGATCTGGCTAATTAAGAAAATAACACTTCAAACCCCAAAAATTGAAGTGAAAAAAAATAGGTGGAACTTCAGAGACAGACTTTGCTGGAGGAGAACAATGAATGATACCCTGGGAGGGAGGATGGTGGTGCTACTGATAGTGACAGAAGTCAACAATATGCTTCCGAAATACTGAGAATGCACAAGTGTGTGGAATTTGCAGAACTGCAAAGATAGCAAGCCCAAGGGTTTGTCTACGCAGACAGAAAGAAATTTAATCTAAGTAACTAGAACTGTGCTAAAACCTTGTATAAGAACAAAATTAAAATGACCTGAACTTGATTCAACTTACTTTCCCTTGGAAGTGAATTAAGATAATATCACTTAAGATCTCTAGTTAGGATTAAAATTTCCATGTTCACAGGTTTGAAAAGTGCCTTTCAAGTGATGATTTTTTCTAAAGCTGCAAGCAACACGCTATCAGTTTTAAGTTCTTCTTGCTTAATAGAAGTCTGTGAACATTAACACTTGGTCTGTGGGGATTTCTTGGGGAAAGTCAAACCAAATTAACTGACATTGCAATTGGAAGGTGATTCAATGAATCTACTTTAAATTCACACCTTTTGTTAAATTCTTCCTTGCGTTCCTGAATTGATATACATGTAATTCAAAACAAAGTTTTAACAAAAAGCACATTTAGAATGAAGACCATAGAGAGAAACCACTAATTTTCAGGGGCAATCCCCAAACACAGAACACCAACTGTTCCCAGGGGAGAGACAGGAAGGGGCAACGAACTGAGCCCGAGAGGTAAAGGTGTTTACTCCAGTACTGATTCAATCCCTTTTTTTCCACTTTTACCCACCAAGTCTGTGCTCTGATGATTCTAATGCTTCTCCCAACATTTCTAATACCCTTTTGTTTGTTATAAATAGTTTTTATTTCAGTTTCCACAACGCGTACCTAACTTTACCCAGTCAAAACTGTAAGGAAAACTATCATTTAAACTTCTGTGTTATCACCTTTTACATTTGAATTTTAGATACTTGAGTAGGGAAGAAGAAAGGAAAATATTAACAGATGGTTCAGCTCTGCAGTCTCATTCTCACCTCTCTCCAAGTATCATCATTAGATTTTGGACACTGGCAATAGATTTCCCATGTTACCCAGCAACATGAAGACAGAACTCCATTCCTCTTGAAGTGCCAGGCTAACAGCTGAAGCCACTAGCAGAACACCTGGCAGTGAGCACTGATCATAAGTGTAGAGATCTCAGTTTTGTCTAATGTTATCCCAGTGGCTTCAAAAAAACAAAAAAAAATATCCAAGGAGATGAGCCACTCCCTTCCAACCAAGCAGAGCACATGAGCTAGCACTATGAACCCAGTTAAAGAAATTTTGCCATTGCCAATTTCTCATGTTAAGCCCACCAAAAAAAGACGCAAATGCTAAGTTATACCTTATAATGCTGAACTAAACAGTTACTTACCATAATACTATATAAACAGATCGTAGAACTATAATGGAAACTAGCGTTCCATACATGATCTGGAAATAAAAACAGAGATAAAATTCAGCAGTTGGATTCAAGAGACTTTATAAAACACCACAGGAGTAAAAAATTTTTGAAGCCTCTGTTGATTTTTATTTCTTAGTCTCAGGAAACAGTATGCCCTCTAACTTCCTCTCCAGAAAGTCTTCCATCAAAGTGTCAAATAAAAGTATGATTATAAACCATGCCCTTTATGCAACTGCAGGAAAAGTCAGTTGTGTAAAACCGCTGTTTCACTTTTTTGAATTAGAAAGCAAACACTAGATGGCACTCAGTAAGCACCCTGAAATCAAAATGGTAACTAACTCCTATCATCTCTGCTGTATCTATGCATTTTAGCCCAGGATTGCGTAAGCATCAGCTAAAACCGTTTTTGAAAGCTATACTTCCTTCACTGATATTTGATTAGTACTTTTTCCTGAAAGCAAACACCTGAATAGGCTATGCACTATGCCCACACTGAGCACCAGTATGGAAGAAACTTTCCAGGAAGCATTTAAAACCAACTATTACAGACTGTTGGGATTCAATCTAATTATACAGTAGGAAGGCTGCACGTGCTGAGAAGATCCATGAGCAAAATCTGGCTCACCATAGGCTTGATGAATCTGAATATGATTGCCTGACTTACATAAAAAGTCAAAGTAATCATTTATTTTCTGCCTCGTGATCTTTAAATCACTCTCCCTTTTTTTATTCACAAGCTTAGGATCCACATAACACCATCTCCAGGACGTACAGACTAGAGAAGAGAAGAAATGTGGTCAGTCATGCCTGAAAAGTGATGCAGAAGCCACTGCAGCAGGGAGGATTTTCAGACACTGGTGACATTAAATAACTCTCCGTGCTTTTTATTCTGAACAGTTTTCCTCCTGCCAAAAGGCAGTTTGTTCCAAGCAGCTGTGCTTTGCTCTTTGCCCCTCTCCAGCGGCCCACAAACCCCACGCTATTTCTTGTTTCCTTGTTCACTGACTTTCCTGTCTCATTTTGCTTTTAGTTAACTCCTATCTAATGCTGCCTTGTTTTACATGAAACAGAAAAATGATAAACCTTTGCTGCCTATTTTTAAAAGCCACTAAACCTCATAGAGGTGTGTTTACAAACCAGTGTCCTTACCACGTTCTACTGACCTCCTCATACCTTTCCTTCTTTTAGACTACACTGTCTTCAAGGCAAGGACTACCTCTTACTCTGCTGTAACCGGGGCATTCAGCTATTACTATCCTGCAAGCACACGCATGTGGTTAGTCGTCCGTCATAAAACAGATTGCTGTGATAACGGCAAAGTGAAATCTACCTTTCAAAAGTCCATAAAGGCAAATTTACAAACCCCTTTTAGCTTTAAGGATGAGGTTAGTAGCACACACCATATTATCAGTGCATATATACAGAACAAGACAGACAACAGAGCTCTTACAGAATCACAGAAGGGTTTGGGTTGGAAGGGACCTTTAAAGATCATCTAAGTCCAAGCCCCCTGCCATGGGCAGGGACATCTTCCACTAGATCAGGGTGCTCACAGCCCAGTCCAACCTGGCCTGGGATGTTTCCAGGGATGGGGCATCTCCCACCTCTCTGGGCAACCTGTGCCAGTGCCTCACCACCCTCAGCATAAAACATTTCTTCCTTCTATCTACTCTGAATCTGCCCTCTTTCAGTTTAAAACCATTACCCCTTGTCCTATCGCAACAGGCCCTGCTAAAACGTTTGTCCCCATCTTTCTTACAAGCCCCCTTTAAGTATTGAAAGGCTGCACTAAGTTCTCCCCGCAGCCTTCTCTTCTCCAGGCTGAACAACCCCAACTCCCCCAGCCTGGCCTCGGAGCAGAGGGGCTCCAGCCCTCGGATCATTTTGGTGGCCTCCTCTGGACCCGCTCCAGCCGCTCCGTGTC